TCACTACGGCCAATTTAGTTTATTCCGTTTACCTAAAGCGCATGTATTTGAACAGTAGGGGAAACCGGAGCACCCAGAGGAAACCCACGCCAATATGGGGACAACATGCAAACTCCACACAGAAATGCCAACTGACCCAGCCGGGATATGAGCCACCATGTATAAGTGTGTATGAATGAGAGTGTATAGGTTATTCCCAGTACTGGGTTGCAGCTGGAAGGGCATCCGCTGTAAAAAACATATGCTTGAAAAGTCGCCGGTTCATTCCGCTGTGGCGACCCCGGATTAATAAAGAGACTAAGCTGAAGTAAAATGAATGAATGAATGAATGAATGAATGAATGAATGGATGGTTGAATGAATGAATGAATGAATTGATGGATAGATAGATAGATGGATGGATGGATGGATGGGTGGATGGATGGGTTGTTTAGTGGATGGATGGATGGATGGATGAATGGATGGATGGGTTGGTGGATGGGTGATAGATGGATGGATGGATGAATGGATGGATGGGTTGGTGGATGTATGGATGGATGGATAGGTTTTGGGTGGATGTGTTGGTGGATGGGGTGATGGATGTATTGATGGATTGGTGGATGGATGGATGGTTGGTTGGATGGGTACACTGATAGATGGATAGAAGGATGGATCAATGGGTTGGTGGATAGATAGATTGCATTGCCTTAATCATAACATCATAATAAATCATCAAAATATATTTTCATATAAATGCAGGTAACACACAGTTGACCGCCACAAACACTGTGAGTTCACACTTCGGCAAATTAAGTTAGTTATTTTTTTATTAAAGGTATGCCGCTGTACTATACATGTTCTGTACACATTTCTTCTAATCTCTGGAATCAAAACCACGAATTTCAGGATTGATGTTGATTCCATTACAGTTTTTCACTTTGTGAGTAAAACGAAGAGGATTAATTAGAAAACCTGTGTGATCATCAGATTGAGGAAATGTGCTGATGTGAACACACAGAACTGACAGTGTGAGAGTCTGTTAGTGTAATGTAGGTCAGCAGAGCCGTATGCCAGCCAGATGCCCGCTGCGTGCAGGACTCTGGAAGCGTGAAACGGAAAGACATGCTTCTTCGAGTGGAGTGACCCCGCATTTAAAACTGACCTGGCTACTAGCGGCCTACTGACTACTAGCCAATCATACTGCAGCTTGTATTTATATTTAACCCCTGTGTGCTGTTGGGGATGCTTTCATCCACTCTGGGGTGATTTTGGGGCTTAATTTAGCCACAACTTTATCTGTGTTTTAGCAAATGAAATGATTTTGGTGGCAAATCTTATTTTGACACATATTTTGGGAAAACGCTTTAAACGTTTTCAAAACTTTTACAAACTCACTAGCCTTTTGTTATGTAGTTGGCTGTTTTTCCCCCATTTACTTCCATTATATTCACATTTGTTTGATTGCAAAGCCATGACACCATATACAGTGCATTCGTAAAGTATTCATAGCGCTTCAATTTTCCACATTTTTTTATGTCACAGCCTTATTCCAAAATAGATTCAAGTAGAGCTGCACGATTCTGGCTAAAATGAGAATCGCGATTTTTTTGCTTAAAATAAAGATCACGATTTTCTCACGATTCTGAAGATGTAAAATGAAGGTATGGTAAAAACAAACATATGGCACAACATCGATAATAATATTATGTGTAGGTCTACTGGTTTTTATAAATAATTCTATTCTACTTATAATAATTATGATGTTGAATTATTATGTTTGAGGAGATATATGCTTGCAATCTGTCATAAAAAAATCAGACATTTACCATTATCAGATTATATTCCACAATATATAGGCTAGAGTAGTTATACTGACATTGTAAACCTTTATTTTCATGCACAACTGTGGGTTCGCTATGAAAGATAAAAAACATATCAAATGCTTGTCGTAATCATAACTAAAATGCGATATGATCATTTAAATGAAGTGCACACTTTCGGTTTCATTTTGACTGCTAAGTGCTTGTTCATACTTTGCGCGGCTCCCAAACGATCACTTTGTGCCACAAACTGAATATTATTTGCAACTGTATTACCTGTTACTCGCAACATATGCAGGTTCTGTTCACTAAAGTTGATGAATGCTCGTTTATCATTAAGTAGAGCGCGCGCCCTCTCTATAACAGCTCACGGTCAGCAGTTCACGTCACGTGTGATTTCCCGGTCGCGAAAACATCATTATATGAAGACAAAAATGACATTATTAGGTGAATTATACCTTATAAATACAGTATGTGACTCATTCAACAACATTTGGAGGTGTCAATGTCAATGAGCAACGTGTGTGAAACAATAAACAGACTCGTGCAGCCGCCTTTTCTTCTCTCCTGAACTTGAAAATATGATTGGCAGAATCGTAGAAATGCTGGATTAAGATCGTCTAGGGGGTCGAATCGAGATCGCGATCTTTTAACGATTAATTGTGCAGCTCTAGATTCAATTAATTTGTTTCCTCAAAACTCAGCACACAATACTCCTTTTTAAAATTGTTGCAAATGTATTAAAAATAAATCAAAGCTAAATAAATAATCTAAGCTGAGTTATCGGCGGAGAAGGGCCTTGTTAGGCAGGTGATCAAAAACCCGAGGGTCACTCTGTCTGAGCTCCAGCGTTCTTCTGTTGAGAGAAGAGAACCTTACAGAAGGACAACCATCTGTGCAGCAATCCACCAAACAGACCTGTGTGGTGGAGTGGCCAGGCGGATCCCACTCCCCGCCTAGAATTTGCCAAAAGGCATCTGAAGGACTCTCAGACCAACAAAAACTAAATTCTCTGGTCTGATGAGACTAAAATTGATCTCTTTGGAGTGAATGCCAGGCGTTACATTTGGAGGAAACCAAGAACCGCTCATCACCAGGCTAACACCATCCCTACAGTGAAGCATGGTGGTGTCAGCATCATGCTGTGGGAATTTTTTTTAGCAGCAGGAACTGGAAGACTAGTCAGGATAGAGGGAAAGATGAATGCAGCAATGTACAGAGACATCCTGAATGAAGACCTGCTTGAGAGTGCTCTTGACCTCAGACTGGGGCGACTGTTCACCTTCCGGATTATTTGGTGTCATGACTTTGCAATCAAAAAATGTGGTTATAATGGAAGTCAAAGGGGCAAAAACAGCCCCAAACATAACGAAAAGCGTAGTCAATTTGAACAGTACACAAGGGTTAAATATGGTGAGTAAAAGCATGATAGAAGTCTCGATGTGCAAATGGCTCAACAGTTTTAATTCATACTACAGTTGATGGAATATTAAATATTCAACACAGATCATGCATAATAATTCTAAAAGAATAGAGGTTCAAACTGGCGATGCTCAGTTATAAACAACAGCATGGATTGCACGTTTTTAAACATGATCATTCATTTATTCATTTTCTTGTCGGCTTAGTCCCTTTATTAATCCAGGGTCACCACAGCGGAATGAACCACCAACTTATCCAGCACGTTTTTACGCAGCGGATGCCCTTCCAGCCGCAACCCATCTCTGGGAAAAACGTGATCATTTTAATATTTAACTTTCGTCTTTGTTATGATGACAGTACATAATATTTGGGTAGATATTAGACATTAGTATTCAGCTTGAAGTGACATTTAAAGGGTTCACTAGGTTGGGTAAGTTAAGGTAATTAGGCAAGTCATTGTATAACAGTGGTTTGTTTTGTAAACAATATTGCTCAAGGGGGCTAATAATATCGACCTTAAAATGGTTTTTAAAATATTAAAAACTGTTTTCATTCTAGCCAAAATAAAACAAATAAGACTCTCTCCAGAAGAAAAATCATTATAGGAAATGCTGTGAAAAATTCCTAATTCTGTTAAACATCATTCATTCATTCGTTTTCTTGTCGGCTTAGTCCCTTTATTAATCCAGGGTCACCACAGCGGAATGAACCACCAACTTATCCAGCAAGTTTTTACGCAGCGGATGCCCTTCCAGCCGCAACCCATTTCTCACACACATTCACACACACATTCACACACAAACTTATACACTACGGACAATTTAGCCTACCCAAGTCACCTGTACCGCATGTCTTTGGACTGTGGGGGAAACCGGAGCACCTGGAGAAAACCCACGTAAAGGCAGGGAGAACATGCAAACTCCACACAGAAACGCCAACTGAGCCGAGGTTCGACCCAGCGACCTTCTTGCTGTGAGGCGACAGAACTACCTACTGTGCCACTGCCTCACCCTGTTAAACATCATTTGGGAAATATTTATAAAAAATTCACAGGAGGGCGAATCATTGTGACTTTAACTGTATGTGCAAACTGAATGTAATATTTTCAGACACCTATTATTATACTCCTATGTTTTGAGATAATGCCACAAATGTTCTGTACTGATCAGGTCTACATTGTTAGTCTCCTCGGCTGTTAATTAGTCCTGCTGTTTTTTCTTGATTACTTTGTAATCAATCTATGTTTATAAGTCTTGTGTTTCCTCACTTCATTTCGTGTTCGCCTAATGTGGTTCAGTGTCTCTGATCTCCTTCATTTCCTTGTGGATTTATTATTAAAAGGCTTTTCGGATTCGGCTCCTTCGCTGTGCACTTTAAACACAGAACATCCCATTAAATGTGCTTTGAAGTAAAAGTTTTAATTAGAGATTATTAGAAACTGCACTTTCCAAAAAGTCTGTAAGTGCGTTATTAAGGTATGCTCCCTTTAAATGGTGCATTTTGTTTCTGATTTTTATTGATTGAAGTCAAATGTAATGTCTTATAACCATTGATTTTGTTTTTAAATGGAGGAATCATTTATTTTCTTTCAGCTTAGTCCCTTATTTATAAAGGGTTTCCACAGCGGAATGAACCGCCAACTTATCCAGCATATGTTTTACACAGCGGATGCCCTTCCAGCTGCAACCCAGTACTGGGAAACACCCATACACACTCATTTACACACAGACACACACACACAAACTCGTACACTATGGCCAATTTAGTTCATCTAAACCTAAAGCGTATGTACTGTATTTGGACTGTGGGGGAAACTGAAGCACCCGGAGGAAACCCATGACAACATGGGGAGAACATGCAAACTCCACACAGAACACACTTTAAGCTGAATACTAGTATCTTGAAAAATATCTAGTGAAGTATTATGTACTGTCAATGTAGCAAAGATAAAATGAATCGGTTATTAGAAATTAGTTATTAAAACTATTATGTTTAGAAATGTGCTGAAAAAAAAATGTCTTCATTAAACTGAGTCCCAAATCTACACCTATGGTTCAAACAGTGCGTTAACAGCAGAATAAAGCACATCTTTTTGGGATTCGTACCTGCCCGACGCATAAACTTCTGCTGTGTCAAACAGATTCACTCCATTCTCGTAGGCTATCGTCATCAAACTCTCCGCCATCTGCAGGAAAACACAAACACACACACATCAGATCAGAATAAGACATGGCCTTGAGGAAATCCTGCACCGGCTTATTGAGAAAACGTGCCCAGAGCTACATTTTTGAGAATTGAGAAATATGTGCTCGCAGGTACATACAGTATATGGCTCCATTTTATGTGTAAAATGAATGCTATAGGACGGTACACAGTAAAAAGCAAGAACTTAAAGTAAGTAAAACCATTGCCTTAAAAGTGACAAGTTGATTATACTTAGAAAATGTAAAGTATTTCTGTTCCTACTAATATAAATTAAGTGAACTTAATAGTTCTAAATATGCACAGTTCATTTATGCAGTAATTTTAAGGCAGTGTTTAATCATTCTGGGTTTTTTAAAAGTCAAGTATTCGCTTTTTACAGTGTACTGCTGACTGTATTGATGGCTTTTCTGGTGTGACTGGTTTGTCCATTGGCGAAGGACGATTCCAGAAACTGGGTAATATCGTGGTAGAAGCATGAGGTTGCGATGCCCTTTCTCTTCTAGTTTGCTTATAAAAAGCACTATTAGTTGGGTTTAGGGAAGTGTGTGTGTCTACTCATTTAAATTGAGAAAACATTCGTTTATGACCTCTTTTTAGTCATATCACACATTAAAGTGAATAAAATCATGGTGTACACAACAGTTTCTGGACTTGCTGCATCACAGACCAATATTTGAATCACTTTCTGACCATTGGATATTGAGAAATTGAGAAATTAGAAATGAGAAATTGTTGCAACTTTTCTTGAAAGTCAAGTTTACATACAATATAATTATTCTGCCTCTAGAAAAGCTCAGATGATGGTGTCAGGTTTTGGAAGTTTCTGATTGGCTAATTGACAACATTTGAGTTAATTGGAGGCACAACTGTAGAATAGTATTTAAGGAAAACCTCAAACACACTGCTTCCTTGTGTGACAACATGGGAAAATCAACAAGCCAGAATCAACAACAAAGCCAGATTACAATTAGCTAAACTACACTAGGAAAAATAATAATTGTTGGAGACATGTCCTGTGGTCTGATGGAACTAAGATTGAACTGTTTGGCCATAATGACCAGTGTTACACTTGGAGGACAAAGGGGAAAGCTTACAAGCCTAGAAACACCATAACACCTGTGAAGTATGGGGGCGGCAGCATCATGTTGTGGGGCTGTTTTGCTGCAGGAGGGACTGGTCCACTTTACAGCATAGATGGCATCATGAAGAAAGAACATTATGTAGAAATACTGAAGCAACATCTCAAGACATCAGCCAGGAAATTAAAACTTGGCCACAAATGGCTCTTCCAAACAGACCATGACCCTGAGCATACTGCCAAATTAGTTCAAATGTGCTTTAAGGACAACAGAGTGAATGTTTTGGAGTGGCCATCATAAAGCCCTGAACAAAATCCTATAAAATCCAATGTGGGCAGAGTTGTGAAAGCTTCTGCGAGCAAGACAGCCTACAAATCTGACTCAGTTACACCAATTCTGTCAGGAGGAATGGGCCAAAATTCCTTCAAACTATTGTGAGAAGCTTGTTGAAGGAGACCCAAAACATCTGACCAAAGTTATACAGTTATAAATATACAGTTATAAATATATATATATGTATACAGTTTTAGCAAAGCTAAAATAATACCAAGGAAATGTAGTAAACTTTTGACTGTCTAGAAATGTATCAAAAAATTTTCAAAAAAAAAACAAACTCAAATTTTCTGGCATTTAGCAAAGGTAAATCATTTAAGTAATCCTAACAGACCTTAAATAGTAAACATTTAGTATGATTAACTTTCAGACATATATATGAGAGATATATTTATATATATATATATATATATATATATATATATATATATATATATATATATATATATATATAGCTATCATTATTTTCAAAAGAACTACATTGCTTTGTAAATGTTTATGATTGCCATTTGTTGAGTCTCCCCATACAGTTTGATATAGCGCTTGAACCCGAAGCCACTTTGTGTCACACTTAACAAGCAGATTGTTAGGCAAGACAACAAGCTGATCATTTTCTCTTATGGACACAAACAAAAAAGACGAGAATATTCGTAGAAATTTACATAGCCGCCCTTGGTGGATTTAAGAGAAATGGCACGTATGAGAAAACATGACCCAGTAACGTATTTAGATTAGATTAGATTAGATTAGATTCAACTTTATTGTCATTACACATGTACAAGTACAATGCAACAAAATGCAGTTTAGGTCTAACCAGCAGTGCAATAGCAGCAAGTGCAGGATACAGGACTAAGTTATAAAGTGCAGTTATATAAAAAAACTATGGTGATATTTACAGATGGATGTACTATGAACATTATATACAGGTTGGATAAGCTATGAACAGATTTACAATATATGAATATATGTGCAGGTTGCTATTAATAATCAGTAGTGTGCAGATAAATAAACATGATTACAAGTGTATATGTTACAATATATGAATATATGTGCAGGTTGATTTAAGATTGTCAAAAATGTACACGGTGCCCTCTAGTGGATTTTTAAAAACAATAACTGCAAGGCATTGTAGTCCAGGGTACATATTTCTCTGTTCCCAAAAATGTAGCCCTGGGCACAAATTTTGAGCCTGGATTGTGGAAAATCTTACAGAGTAAATTGACAATATTCACCTCATCGGAGATCTGAGATCCAAACGTCACCCAGGTGCCTGCAAACAATAGAGGAAAATAAGATTTAAAAAAACAATTCAGTGTTTCAACAGGAGTGCTAAAAGAAATAAAGTAATTATATTCCTGTCCCCTTCCTATTGTTTCAGAAAGCAGCTCAATGTCTTATTCTATTAAATTATCTGAGCTTTCAGGCTTTGCAGTCTTACTGTATGTCTACTATTGGCAATGAATAAAGACTTTTTAGCATCCACCTCTAAGAAAAGCTGATGCTTGAAGCCAAAGTGAATCTTCTTTTGCTGCACTAGCCTGGAGTTTCTCTTCTAGGAAAAAAAGTCTGATTTCTTTTAGTTTGGCTAAAATGATATATATTATTCAAGGCAAAATTATCAGCCCTCCTTTATTTTTTATTTGTTCTTTCCCAAGTGCTGCTTAACAGAGCAAGGCTATTATCACAGTATTTACAATGATAATGTTTCTAATGGATTTCAAATGTCTTTGTTTACATTTAGCTGGAAAAAAAGCAGTTTTAAAATTTTTAAAACTACTTTAAGGACAATGTTATTAGCCCCCTTAAGCAGTATATTTTCAATTGTCTACAGAACAAACCACTGTTGTCCAATGACTTGCCTAATTACCCTAACTAGCCTATTACATACAGTGCTCAGTATAATTAAGCACACCCCATTTTAAATGAATATTGTATCCATTTCTCAGTAAATATAGGCAATGTATTTTTGTGCATTTAAACAAAACAGATTTATTAAACATAAATATTTATTAAAATAATATTTTAGTCACCAAACATATTTAGAAATTGAAAGATAATACAATTGAATTCAAGCAAAATATTGCAAAGATAAATAAAAACCTACAAAATTTCTGCTAAATTTGTAATTCTTTTTGTTTCTATTGATGTTTCCTCTTTCTATATTTGTATTTAATATTTTTCTATAACATAGATTTGGTGCACTAGTTTTGGACCGTTATTGTAAGTTATTTTGTTAGATAAGCTCCAGATTTGGCTTCAGCAACCACTAATCTAATGTATACGCACAAATATAGTATTGTATAGCTTCCTATTAAAATATGAACTTAAAAGAGAGATTTGTGAGGGGCGTACTTTTATATGCTGAGAATTGATATTCTGTATAAGTGCATTTAAGTGCTCTTTATATTGTTAGATTATCTGCGAGTACAATGTTCATCGTTTTATAAAATGCAATATACACTAAGTACATACATTTAAACATTCTTGAAGTATATTCAAATAGTTTTTACATAAAAAAGACCCTTGAGAAAAACAAATAACTCCTCGGTTAAAATGGATGAATAGTTTACTCACCGAGACCCAAACAAGAAACACGAAGACCTGATTTCCCAAGGTTTCTGTGGAAAATAGAGAGAGAGAGATTGAGAATGTCTATTACGTCTTTTTTTATGCGCTTGCAACAATCCTTAGCATTTTGTTTAATTCATTCATATTAGAAATCTGAATGTATCCTTAAAAAAGACATGTTATATATTGACAAACATTCGTAAAATCTCTATATTACTGCACAACAATGTTTATAATAACAAACTCCAAATGCCTTGTCAAAATAAAAGAAAACAGTCAATTAAATAACATTACATTTAATTAAATTAACAAAAAAATCTATTAAATGAACAAAATTAACATGATTTATTCATTCATTCGTTTTCTTTTCAGCTTAGTCCCTTTATTAATCTGGGATCGCCACAGCGAAATGAACCGCCAACTTATCCAGCATATGTTTTACACAGTGGATGCCCTTCCAGCTGCAACCCATCCCTGGCAAACATCCATACACACTTATTCACACTTATGCACTACAGACAATTCTAGCCTACCCAATTTACCTACAGCGCATGTTTTTGGACTTGCACCTGGAGAAAACCCGTGCAAACACGGGGGGAACATTCAAACTCCACACAAAAACGCCAACTAACCCAGCCGAGGCTCAAACCATCCATACACACTCATTCACACAATACCACACAGAAATGCCCCAAAAACTGACCCAGCTGGGACTTGAACCAGCAACCTTCTTATTGTGAGGCGATTTTGCTACCCACTGCGCCACCGTGCAACCCCTAAATTAACATGATATTAAATTAAAATAATAAAACTTTATTTCAATAACATTTTAATTCAACTAAAATTCCATCAAATTATGAATGTTTTTGAATCAAATTAACATTAAATTAAATTAAATTTAAATGAATTAAAATAAGGCGACACGGTGTCTCAGTGGTTAGCGCTGTCACCTCACAGCAAGAAGGTCGCTGGTACAAGTCCCAGCTGAATGAGTGTGTATGGATGTTCCTCAATGCTGAAAGGACATCTGCTGTGAAAAACATACAGGTATGCTGGATAAGTTGGCGGTTCATTCCGCTGTGTAATTCCCCTTATAAATAAAGAGACTAAGCCGAAGGAAAATGAATGGATTTAAATAAAAACAATTTATACAAATAAAATAGTAATGGTTTAATTGATAAAAGGTTTACAACCGCATTCATGTCAACTCTTCATCTGATGGTTGGATTGCTTATATTGGCTAATGGATGAGAAGCTGTGTTTAAAACCATATTAAAACAAAGGTGTTAAAGTGCACCTATTATGCCCCTTTTCACAGGATGTAAAATAAGTCTCTGATGTTCCTAGAGAGTCTGTGTGAAGTTTCAGCTCAAAATACCACACTAATGGTTCGTTTCCACTGACTGGTGCAGTACGATATGGTACGGGTACAGGTCACCTTTATCAGGCTTGCGTTTCCACTGCTAAAAGGGTACCAATGGTACTCTTTTGGTGGGTGTGGTGTACGACAGAAAGTTTCAGTCAACGTCATTTTCACTCGAGAAAATGTCTACTGCTGTACAGGTCAGTTACATATCATATGAGAAGCACTGCTCACAAAACAGATGCTTTATACACATAAATACCTCTGTATAAATGTTCATTAGTAACCTTTCTATGAACAGGATTTGATTATAACTGCAGACCAATGACTACTGTAACATCTGCGATTATATGAAATAAATAAATAAATGCAACATATATGAAGACAGACCCTTACAGTCTCCGATATGTTACCAACTACAGAAGAACTACACACTGCATACATTTAGTCCTTATTTAGGTTCAAAAACAACACGAAATATAGCCCACAGTCAGAGCAGACCTCTCATCTGTGTCTGTAATCTTCAGTTCATAATAGTCCAACAGGTGATGATAATAGTTAAGCATGGCAGTTTGTTCACGTTTACTGAAAAAAATAATGTGCTCCTTTTTTTCCGGCTTCTCCTTAGTTTTTCCGCGCGTCACTCTCGCGTTTGTCAGTTTCTGACAGGATCGGGTTTTAAAAGCACGTCAATAATCAAGTGCACGTTATTATCATCAGCTCAAGAAGTTTGTTATTTTAAATATAGACTCGTGACGAGCGCAAGCAAGAAAGCGAAACCCCTCGCGCTTCAGACTGGCTCGTAAAAAACTACGGGGCACAGGGTAAATCTGCTCTTCTTGGCTTTGTGGCTGTTCATCAAGACAACGAAGGTTTGTTTGAGCCCGGGTGGACCATGGCTCCTTATTATAGAGATATATAATTATGCTGTAATCTCTCGGCTGTGTATTTTAAACATGGTGGTTCCTTTTTTTTTATTCTGGCTTGTTGCGTGAGCGAATGATGTATCTCTGTATACCAAAGCGTTCAGCTGTCTAGCTCTGCCTTTTTTACCCTTTCTTGTGTTTGGTACCCTTTTGAAAGGGTGCCGAAAAAGTGGTACAGTACAGTCCGGTTCAGTATGCCTTTTGACAGTAGAAACGGCAATAAAAGCGTACCAAACCGAACCATACCACTCATTGGAAATGGGCCATAATTATTTTTAAATAACTCTTTAAAACTGATTCTTTTTGCAACCCAGGCTCATTCTGAAAACGTAGTGTCGTGGACGTTTCTGGAGACCGCGAAATACGTCCCGGGAGGTACGTATGGCTGCATTTCATTTTTTTAAGCGAACGCTACAGGGCGGTGTGACGCCGTTCCATTTCACGCTTGCCAGCTGACCGCTTACCTCCGTGTGGAGGGCTTTCCCGCTGCAGTCAGTTTGTCCGGTTAGCTCATCGTGTGTGTCGGCGGACTTCAGATTCAGAGAGGAGGAGTTGACAAAGGCGTCCGGGTTCGAGTTCGAGGAAGAGCGGTTCCAGAAATCAGGTAAGACAAAAACAGAATCCAAAAAATAAAGCGATCGAGTTCATAACAGGGTGAGAATGTGGTGAAATCCGAAAATGTGGTAAAAAAAAAAAAAAAAACAGACGAGGGTTTTTCTTTTTCTAGACCAGTGGTTCTCAAAGTGGGGGTCGGGACCCCCCGAGGGGTCGCGGGACAATGAAGGGGCCGTCGCCTGGTGATTTCCAAAAATCTATTTATTTTTATTGAACCATAAGAATTAACATTTTTATCCATAACCTATTATGGATACTACTATTAACCTATATGGATACTACTACTAACCTTTACTACTGTAAATAGTTACTTTATAAGCTTATAGTTACTAGTTGTATTGGATTGCGACCCCTCAGGTAATTACATTATATTAAAGACTCAGTAATAGCGTCAGATGCAGCAGATTGATTTTATAAGACCAGGTTAAAATTTCTGGCACATTTACAGCACCGACATACATTTAAAAAAAATAATAAAATGAAGAATAGACTTTGGTTTATTGGTGTGTGTGCGCCATTGCATGCAAGGTTTCTGTATTTATAACCACCTCAGAGGATATTGGGGGTCGCGAGTCACTGGAATTGTTATTTTGAGGGTCACGAGCTGAAAATTTTGGGAACCCCTGTTCTAGACGGCTTTTCTAAATTGTTGCTCGGGTTTAGTGAGCTGGCGGGCGGGTCAATCGGTAAAACTGGTTGGGTTCAGGAAAGGGTGGGTCAGCTGATTGGCCGGTTGCGCAGTCAATCATTCGGTCAGTCAGACAGCGGCCTCTGGTGGGTTGACGCGAGAACAGCGCGGGCACGAACGGCACTCGCGAGAGACGCTCGAGATACGAAAAAGCGCACACAGCGGCTTCTCGAGGATTCGCGAATACAAAAACTGCACAAATACGTACCTCCCGGGATGTATTTCGCGGTCTTCAGAAACGTCCGCTGGACTACGTTTTCAGAATGAGCCAGGGTTGTCTTTTTGGCTTTGATCCTGATAGTGCCATTTTGGTGACTGTCGCTTTAAATTCAAATGAGATTTGAAAAGAGGGTGGAGCTAAAAACGCCTGTGTTTCAGCATAGTGACAGATTCTTACACAAGACTAATGTCCTATGCTAATGAGGTAGAGATTATTGGGCGGGGCTTTTTCATTCTGATGATACGTGCAAAACGAGAATGTCAATCAGAGTGTTACTGCAGAACAAATAAAAGCAATGCATTTTTGCCATTAGAAGCTGCTTATATTCACAGACTGTCACCACACATCTGTGTTTAAACCCCTTATAAAAGTGATTCTTGCATAATAGGTCCCCTTTAATGCTGGAGTAGCACCCGAGGCTGCTTTAAATGCAGATGCTGCCGTTTGTGAGCTCTGTGTTACCTGTGCCTATCTGTTCGTTTGTGTGTCCGACAGAAACAGACAGATTGTCTGCGTGTTTAGATCCAGGCGGCTGAACCACGCTTTTTCCTCTCTGCATCTATTTCTGTTTGCCCGGCCGCTCTATTTATAGAGATGTTGCAATTGTTTGTGTTCAGCTTGTATGTGTGTGTGTGTGTGTGTGTGTGTGTGTGTGTGTGTGTGTGTAATGGCTGCAGAAATGACTGTGTTTGACTCGTGATTATCAGGCCTTTAAAAGCAGAGCGACGGCTGATCTCTGATCTGCTCCCACACGTCACTCCGCTAATGCAGCACTCGAGCTAAATGTCA